TTGTTATGCTTTCGTGGTCTTGCTTAGGAACCACCACACTGGGGGCGGCCTTCTTCCGCTTCGCATCCTTGGATGCCAGGTAGGCGGCCGTGGCACCCTTGATGGCCCCGCAGTTGGTGTGGCCCAGCACGAAGATGAGCTGTGTCTTCAGGGCCCCAGTGCAAAACTCAAGGCTGCCCAAGATACTGCCTTCTGCATGTGTACAGGTGTTCCCAGCATTGCGCAGCACGAAGAGATCTCCAGGCAATGCATCAAAAACGGTCTCCAAGGGCACACGAGAATCTGCGCATCCAACGATGGCGGTGTGTGGCGCTTGGCCCTTGGTCGCCAAAGCCTCGCGCATGTTAGGATGCACCTTGGCAATGGGAGCACCCACCACGAAGCGCTCATTGCCATCCTTCAGGTTCTTCAGTGCGAGCTTGGGCTCCTGAGCTGTTCAAACTCAGCTTACGGACTTAGAAGTGAGATGAACGCAGAAATTAAGATCATCCAAAATGGGTCAAGCAATCATCGGTAAGTTATTGAATCATTTCGGCAGTCCAAGGGTCCAATGTGCCATCTTGGGGCGTGCGGATCGCTCCCAAAGCCATGGAGGGTGGCAGTGACAACTGAGAAGCCAGGAGTTCAGCCTGACGAGGAGAGCGGCCCAGGAATTGCACGCGCCCCGTGTCCAAATGATAAATGCCGCCCTGGATGTCCAACTCACCCTTCCGCACCAATTCCCGCAAAGGCTCGCTGAACCTTGCATCACGAATCACATGTCACAAGCCGTTCAGATTGTTCCAAAGCCCTGCAGAAATTAATATCTCACAAATACCGTTTAAGAGGAGAAGAACCCGGCCCGGGCCCCAAAAAAGATCCACTAGTCACTGCTCTCCACTCTATAAATGCTAGATAGACCCTCCACTGACGTTCTGGTCTGGAACCTCCCACTGTCCCCAGTCGACCCCAATCATGCCCTCTGGTATCTACTTAAGTCTGATACACCCCCAAAACAACATCTTGCAGTCATCCTGAGCAGACCCCAGCAGCTTCAGCAGAAAATTCATGGAGTTGAAGACATTCACTTTCACGGCGTGGGATACTAACTGATCCTGCGATGCATTTGGACCCAGCTCCTCGCTGGTCTCTTTGGCAACAGAAGCAAGGCCTTGCAACAAACCTTCCAATGCACAACCTGAGCAGTGGTGGAACGCTGCGTTCATAGGCAGTTTCTGTGCATTTCAAAGTAGTGATTGGCTGATAAGCATGAACTTGTGGCGCTCTGATAATTCGTAAACATAATCAACTCCACTTACAGGACAACAAACCACTTAACAAACCTAAATGTTGAATGCACGGAGTTTAGCACAAACATGCTTGAACTCACCCCCACAGCTTTGAACATGTCTCGCTCGCCTGGAGCTTGGGAGGCGCCACTCTGGTAGGTGGCAGTGGCACCGGCAATGGCTCCACATTGAGTATGTCCCAAGACAAGAATCAAACGAGTGCCAAGCTTGCCGGTGCAAAATTCCAAAGATCCAACCATACTGCCTTCTGCGTGTGTGCAGGTGTTGCCAGCGTTCCTAAGAACAAAAAGCTCTCCAGGCATAGCATCAAATACAGTGTCGACCGGAACTCGGGAGTCGGCGCAACCCAGGATGGCACTGTGGGGGGCTTGGTTGTGCTTCACCAAGGCCTTTCGCATGTCCCCAGACGTCTTGCTAGCTGTCACAGCACCAACGGCGAATCGCTCATTGCCATCCTGCCAGGTGCAAGACATGTCAACCTTTGAGTAAGACTATTGTGCCTTGAACAATGTTGGATTTACTGTATCATGTTCCATGCACAAAAGCTTGAGGGCCTACCTCAGTAACAAACAAACCGAAAATCGAAACCAAAGCAGTGAAAGTAAACTGTTTGAAGAGCCAGGTGTTGGAAGCAGAACATGCATGCGTCTGTCTTCTGTACAATGATGCGAATTCCTGCCTTCAGCATCTTCAATGCCAAATCAGATGGCACTCGCTCATCAGCACCAGTGCGCACTCCGTGCACACCACGATCAGCGTCGCCCGGAACAACCATGGATGGCGGGAGAGGCATGGCACTCTCGAGCAATTCCTTTTGGGCGGGAGACTTTCCAAGGAATTCCACGGAGCCGGTCTCGAGGTGGTAGATGCCACCTTGGATCTCAATCTGGCCACTTCTCACACCCTCTCGAATGGACTGACTGAACTTCAGCAAGAAGTTCATGGTGTGGAAGACGTTGACCTGCAATGTCTCGTCTTGGCAGGTCAAATCCCAAACAAAGGCTTGCAGGAGGGATTGATCTGTGTTTCCAGTTGTCAAGATTAAGTTATACTCAAGAAAAAACTATGATTTCAATGTACGCGTCTACGTATTATTCTAATATGTATACATATGGCATACATATACATCATATATATATATATATCCTATGTATGTATGTGTATATATATATATGTGTATATATACCGTATATATACAATACCAGGTGCGCTAATCACGCAAATCCAACCTTCACAGCATGAGCTGCAACCTCATCGGACGATGCACCAGCTCCCATCTCTTCAGCGGCCACTTGTGCCACAGAGCCAAGGTCTTGGAGCAAGCCTTCCAAGGCACATCCAGCCTTGCAAGGGCCGATTTGAGACTGACGCGCCGTCCCTTCTTCACAGAATCACAAATCATTGACAACGCTAACACCGAGCTACTGGGCCATCATTTCTGGATGGGAGAGCAAGCGTGATTCAATGCATGTTCTCGACTTGAATATACCACACCGTATACCCTTCTTCACTATAGCACCAGGTCGAAATGAACGAGGAAATATCACCTGAACCGTTCTGGAATTCTTGAAACGGCTTTCCGAGCATCTCTGGCCAGAGGACCCCAGACCCCTGCCTTCTTTCCTGCTCCACCTGCATCCAAGTATGTCTTGGTCGCACCATAAATCGCACCACACTTCGTGTGGCCGAGAACCAGAATAAGACGACTTCCCAACTTGCCGGTGGCAAACTCCAGGCTTCCAACCTTGATCAAACACACGGCTGCACCTTTTCATCAACAAGTTGAACCCGTTGAAAGCAATTCCAAAAGGTGCAGGAAAGTCACCATACTGCCTTCGGCGTGAGTGCATGTGTTTCCTGCATTGCGCAGAACGAAGATATCGCCTGGACAGAACTGGTTCGAAACACAAGCAAAGTCAATCCGCTTTGGCAGTTGCTCCAGTTTGTGAACTCCCTACCTCAAATTTGAGATTAAAGATGCTCCCAGCATCCTAATATGTCAGTCAGTCCATTGCGTGTCTGCTTTCTTACTTGAACAACTTCTTTGCTCCGGCCTGGCATGGCATCAAAGATCGTCTCGAGCGGTGCCCTCGAATCTGCACAGCCGATGATGGCAGTGTGGGGTGCCTGGCCTTCATCCACCAGCTGCTGACGAGCTGCATCTTTGGTCGCCGAACCCCAGGGACAGCCTCGCACAAAGCGACGGTTGCCGTCCTCACAGGTTTCCGGCACAGTGCTTAAACATGCTTAAACCAATGACTCAAAGGTACTCAAATCAACCAGAAAGACGATGTGTCCACCATTGATTTGGCTGTTTGTGCTGAGAGCAAGGGCACAAGAACCATCCAACAATGCATCTAAACTCATCCACCCACCATCCCAAAGAAATCCAAATCACCACCATGTCCACATCCATCCACCATCCCATGTCCTTCAAGAGCTTCAAGGCATCCTCTGGTGCCATGGGCGGATCTGCCGTGGTGCGGACCGGGCGCTCGGCCGGCGGCTGGGAGCACAGTGTGAAGGCATCAGCGATCTGGCTGAAGAAGGCCATGATACCTGGGACGTTCCCCGTTCGCCCGCGTTCGCCCGCGTTCACCCGTTTGCCACGTTCAACCAAGCCCTACAAGCCATGACTCCACATATGGGCCCTATTAGCCTGCAGATTTGGGGTTGCTTTTGACATGTGTATATATATATATATGTATATATCTCCAATCAACTTTAAACCCATACATAAAACAAAGCACAATCATCGCAAAATAAAGGATATAGGTCAGAAGCTGGTGGACAAAAAGATGATACTGGTGTATATATATATATATAATATTGATATATCTATATACAGTATGTTAATATATGCTTATGATATGATACACTGGTTCTGGATGATTCTGGTGTCTTCCCATCTTGAGACAAACTGACATTGATGGACGTGAGCGATCCAACCTTTTGTGTTAGGTCCGCTCATTCCAACAAGGATGTGTTCCTTACTGACAATTGATTCTACCTCTGGACACTACAGCTCAAGTGCTTAAGAGAATCACGCTCCACACAAGCCTCTTCACTGATCCGGGAACCTCTCAAGTCCACTGACTGAGGCCCGCACTGAAGTGCGGGAATCAAACGAGGTTTTGTCCACAGATTGAGCAAGTGCTTTGGGCGAGCAGCAAAAAAGTTCAGCTTGATGTGCAGAAAACAAACCAAACCAAACCAACCAACCAACCAACCAACCAACAAGCAGCAACTCCCCCACCTCGAAGACCTATGGAAGAAACAACCGATGAAAACTGATGAATATGCGTTGAACGGAAATATTTCATGAAGTCTTTCTGGCCAATTCAGGCCTTTGCACCCAAACATCGTCGCTGCGATTTATTGAAAGTTATTTCTTCAATGTGTAAAAACCCTGTGAATCTCATGCTCGCTCATGCCCGTACCATCTTGCACCATCAATGCCATTGAACTCTTCCGTTGAGGTGGCCAATGGTAAAATCCTCGATGGCACGTGGCTCAATGCCTGAAGGAGTTTTTACAATGTTTCATTGGAGCACAATTCAAACCCTTGATGTTCCAATTCCAACACATCATGACTTTGGCCCTTTGGCTGAATCAGCCACTCTCCAAACAAATAGTTAACACCCCATGAGCCGTACTCGGTCGACTCTACCCAGTCGACATCACTCCCTCGGTCTCCGTCGGTCACTTGGCCTCCAACGCCAACTTTTGAGCGCCGGGGCCCCGGTCGCCGCCACGCAAGCGTTCCAAGAACCTCCCGTTCCGGGACTTCCACCCCATTGAGGGGAGACCAGGGAGTCTGAGGGTAATTAGAGCGTTGTTCGCGTGACGTTGGCTTCCTGTTCGCACCCGTTCACGGCCGTTCGCAACTTTTCAACTGTGACCGAGAAGAGCGTGATAGTGCAGGAAGTTTTTTGGATGGAAGCGAAGTGGCAGATTCGTCTGACATAGCGTAGAAACGTTATGTTTAAGTGTGGAGGATGATATTGCTGCGCAGATGCAGCGTTTTTTGTGAGATCCTCAGTGTCCTTCGTTGATCGGCGTTCACAGGGTGGTCGTCGAAGTTGAATTTTCATTACAGACGCAGGGAATCATGAGGTTGCGACGTTTGGTGGAGATGAATGTCGCTGTGCCATTGGGATTGTCAACGGCTATGGTTTTGAGGGGCTGGGATTATGTGAAACTGCTTGGCAAGGCTGCTTGATGTTGTCGCTCTGATGAGACTTCCTGCTTCACTTTTAAGGGAAGACTGGAACGAAACGCTCGTTTTGGAGACTTTGACATGTGACTTTTGGAGGAAACCTCGTACAAAACGCTCGTTTTGGAGAGTTGAAGCTTGGCTTGACTTTTGGAGGAAGTCTCGTACGAGCTTTCATTGGAGGAAGCAAGAATGTGGCACAAGAGTGTGTCCCAAAAGAGTGTCTCCTACTAAAGGAGCACCCAAAAGTCAGAGTGTCCTAAGAGTGTTGCACAAGATTATCCGACAAGAGTGTCCCACAAGAGTGTCCCAAAAGAGTGAGTGCAACATGTCGGACGAGTGTGTCCTGCAAGAATTTCCCAGGAGTCTTCTACAAGAGTGTCTCGCATAAGAGTGTTCTACAATTACAATGGTGTCCTGCAAGACTGTCCCACAAGAGTAAGTGTTGCACAAGAGTGTAGCACGAGAGTGTCCCACAAAGTTTTCCACGAGTGTTCTACAAGAGTGTCCCACAAGATCGCACAAGAGTGTCCTACAAGAGTGTCCCGCAAGAGTGTCTCCTATAAAAGCGTCTGACAAGACTGTCCCAATAAGAGCGTCAAACAATGTTTGGCCGTTTGTTTTCGAGTGCGTTTGTGCATTTGGGTTCGTGGGCTCCATCTTGTTGTCCGAAGGAAGCTCCTCAGTATGTAATACGTCTTCTGATTTCTTGTGGACAAATAATAGATTGCTACAGTACGTGCACCATTCTCACACTCACGTGTTGGACTGACGCACGTTGTACTTGCAAGCCTGATTGATTGAGGCGACGAAGTGACTAAATACGCAAACTATACAGGCCCTCTCAAAACATGTTTTCTTGATATGACGATCTTGTCATCAAATGTCTATGGTCAAAAGGGAAACACACCATGCTAGTATACATATATATATATATCATATTTAACATATATAAATATACTGTATGTATTTGATCGACGACACTTCACTTGGGTGGTGTTCACATACTCTTGCAATGTTTTGCAGTTGCCACAACTATCAGGGAGGGTTCCCTTGTTGATGGATTTCACCACTCCAAACACCTGCCTTGACTTGAAGGAGCCGATGTTCACTCAGCTGGTCATTTCGATTCCGGCCGTTGAGCTGGCCATCACCCCCCAAGGAATTCGCCTTGTCATGTTGGGCATGATGGCCTTCTGAACCTTCGGAGCCCCACCGGCTGTCTTCCACAAGCCTCAGCTGGGCGAGCATAAACTAATCATGATTCCAATGGGTCCAGTGGAACCTTTGGAAGCCCAACATTAGATGTTTCATTGAAAGACGGAGCTGAAGCCAACCAGGACGAGAACATAGGCGCGGACAGCAGTGCTGACAGATCGTGTGAATGATCGGCTGGGCATCAGAAAGCTGCTCGGCTCGGGGCAAAATGCGAACGTATCGACTATTGTAGTTTGCTTTTGTGGCACATGTTTAACCTTTGGAATCCTGAAATCAAGCAGCCAGCTGGACAAAACATGAAGTCACCTGGCACTGAATCTGTACAGCCATTGCGTGCAAATATTAAGTAGCATGTTTCTTTGGGGTTGGTTTACAAACCCCAACAAACTGCCAACCCTGTCATGGTGGGCAGTTCTGGCAGTATTCATTGTGCCTTCCTTTTGTATCAGCCGGATGAACTTCCCCTACCCTCCAGGCCTCTTCCTCGGCCAGAACCAGGTCACCCCGACCATTGGCCACTCGCTTCACTGAGGCATCTGCGTCGAACCTGCGTCCCGAACTTGCCACTGCCACTCTCGACTTCGAACGAAACGATTTGCGTCAAATCAGGACAAAAACAAACAACTGAAGAACATTTAGTTAGTGGGGTGCATATTATGGGTGCATTTGTGTCTTTGGGCTTCTATCTGTCCTGGCTTGTATGGGTCTAACTTCACTTTGGAGACATCCACTTCTCTTCTGGAGAGTGTATGGTGCTTGACCAGCATGAACTGCTCAACCCAGCAAAGCTCCTTTGAGTGATTGTGTCAATCATGAGCAACTTCAAGCACCAACAAAGTTTGACATCTTGTCTTTTTGGGATTGGATGTCAAGCATTGCATCAGCTCCACATGGCTTGCCACGTGCCTCGCCAATAGAATGAGCAAGAGCACACGCTCTCTGGTGGCTTTATTGGAGCAGTCCTGGAGTCCAAAGAACTGATGCCCTCCCAAGGAATCTTATGATCTGCACTACATGCCGAACAAAAGCTGCAATCATAAGCTCATTGCTTGTTCCTGACAAGGCCAGCAAGTTGTTGGCCACGTTGGCCATGCTGGAAGTTTCAGAGAGGCTGGGGAGCTGTTGGAAGTTTCAGAGACTCAGTGAGTTGGATCTGGGAAGGACGCTTCAATCAAAACATCCGAACAAGCACCAATGACCAAAGCATGCGCAGAGTTGGAGAGCACGACCCCTTCTTTCTAAGGGCTAAAAACTTCAGACTTGTGGGAAAAGATGCTGCTGTGGGTGGCACTAAGAATTGCCTCAACGGCCATAAGGCTCTGGCCCACAATCTGTCCCGAGACATACCATCCCCACCCTTGCGTAAAACTGCTCAATCCTCCGTGCTCAGGAGGTCTTGTCCAAACTTCTTGTGCTCCAAAATCTTTTCAGCCACCTGCCCCCAGAAGAGTGTTTGAACACTACGATGCGGCTTCGGATCGTACAAAACCAAATGGGGGAACTCTTGGTGGCTGTTGGGTATACGGTATGGTTGGGTTTTGATTGTCCACCTCATCTCTTTTGGAGGTTTAAAGTTCACCTTCTCTCCACAATTGGCTCTTTTGTGGTCTTGGTTTGCCTTAAAGACATGAACCAGCTCGTGATACGGCCCCATTTCCCGTAAAAAGAGGTCTACCTGATCAAATGATTCGATAACTCATTGGGGATCCCAGGACCAACTATTTGGCAAGTGAGCACCCAACTATTGGCGACTGAGCCATGGCCTTGCCCAGTAAGACCACAGTCTTCTCGCGGGTCACGGCATTTCGCGCCGTCTCCTGCAGCGCAGCAGTGCTTGTGCGGGTCATTTTGATCCAGTTTCTTCCCAGAAATGAAGGGATCCTTGTTTGAGGTCAAATATACAGTAACTCTGTGACACTGTGGTGACTGAGAGGAAGAATGTGGAGGTCTATGAGTCTATGCAGATTCCTGAAGGAATTGTTTGAAGTCCATTCAGTAGAATTCTTGGGGTGGTGGGAAAGAGCGCTTCCGTACACCTTGGCAGCTAAGCGCTTCCCATTGATGATAGTTATGCAGTACCCCGAGTCATCAGTCTAAAGTATCTCTGCATCTTGATGAATGCTTGAACATACCATAATCATTTGCAATTTTTCCGAACACTTTATACATATATAATATATATATATATACCACCCGCAAGATCAAGCCTCGTCACAATTCCCAATGTTGACTATGTTGGTAAAAAAAATACTTAAAAGGAATCTCCTCACCACATGAAAATCTCCTCACCACACGGACACAACGTCTGGTTACACCTTCGGCGGTCCTCGGGCGAATCACTCTGCAAGGTGCAGCAATAGGCGCCCTCAAAGCCATCAAGCAAGCTATGAGGACCTTGCTTGGCAAGTCGTTCAGATGTGACCCCGGCTCAAGATCTGAATGACAAATGTCTGGAATCCAACAGTTCTGAATCCCTACATCTTGGGAACTGACGTTTCATGATAAATCTATGATCTATGTAAAATGAAATGATCATCCATGACAATCTAAGAAAGCAACTTAGGCATCAAACATAATGCCGTTTTGTGACAAAAACCACCAAACGAACGGTTTTCTCCCTCTGGATGGCCCCAAAACGCTGAGAGTTTCACACAGATCGCCGAACCGCTGCACCAACGCCAGCGCGGCCCTATGCCCAGGGTCCTTGGAAAAAAATAACAAAGGAAAACACGGGCAACAAAGGAAAACGATCATTGAAGTGGAAATAGCATGGAAGGGACTAACTGTGGGGAAGAAGGCGGAAAGGCCTCACACGGATATGTTTCGAACAATAATGAACAATATGGCCTTGAGCATGGGAAGCATCTGCAACATTCTGGAGCAACGGCCAAAGAAGAGTTTCTGTATTCTCCCAAGTGTCTTTTGCCACCATGTACTTGCTTCTTGGCCGGGATTTCTTAACTGTGTGCAATCAGCGATTTCAGCAACTCATGTTCATTCACCAGGGAATGACGTACAATGTCTGCGTTTTCCTGACAATCCGGAATCCCGGTCCACCTTTTCCGGATCTCAAGTTGTCAAGCCAACCGCGAAGGACAGCTGACTACCCCCATCCAGCTCACCCAGCTCCTCATTTTGGTCTTTCTCACCTGTCCGAAATCTTCAAGCATCTGCCAGGATAACTGATTTGCCACGCTGAGTGACTGTGCCCCCAGCAAATCAGTGGCCGTCCCGGAGTCATGACAAACTGGATGCTCAGCGTGCGCACGCACTTTATTAGGAGATACCTCTTCTTTCAGGCAGGACCAAGCAACAACACAAGAACCAGTGCTATTCAACCACCCAAATTAAATGTGTGTTGTGTGTGCATGATTGTGCATGTGTGTGTGTGTGTGCCACCCTCCGTTCACAGGAGGGTTCCCTTACACCTTATCAATTTTTCCACAAAGCAGAGGCGTCAGACTCGATGCACCTACCTGACGCAACGAAGCTCTGGTGTATCGAGGGATGGGGGGACTGATCATCCCCCCGCATCTGCTTCGTGCAGTGACAATACACCAATTTTCCTTGCGGTTTTTTGATTCCATGGTCCTTTCATGATAGTCCCCAAAACCAGTTCTGCAGCCTCACCACCGCCGAGCCGCTGACGTTGTCGTGAGTTCCAACCAATGTTCAACATTTCAAGTGAGCTGACTTTGCCTTTCTGTTCCCTGATCCCTTTCCGTGTGGATTCTCTCACTGGATGAACCTCTATCTAAGTGTGTGTGTGTCTGTCTGTCTGGGGATGTGTGCTGTATACAATGTAGCGAAAGGAGAAACCAAGCATGAATCAAACAAACAAAAATTGCAGTGACTGGACGATCCTCTTCGATGCTTGGTTTATCTGAAACGCTTAGGCGCAAAGGAACGAGGCCACACCTGTGATGCTCATCAGCATGGCAGGGAAGAGGGACTCAATGTATGGCACGAACTCCATCTTCATGGCCTGATAGGTCATTTGTCCGTCAACCGGTCAACCAAAGAATGGCAAAACAAAAGCCCTAGTGCAAACAACTGGTTCATACTAGTTCCATCCAACATGTTCTAGGCAGCCTTCTACAACTGATAAAGGTGTATGTGAGCTGATTCGACCTCAATAGGCTCTGACTCTTGACTAGAAAATTAGGAAAAATAGGAAGGTGATTGGGCGCTTGGAATAAGGCCCCTTCCCCTGGCGAGCGGCCTGCGGCATGGTATCCATGAGTTCCAGGAATCCTCTCCTCCGGCTTCCAGGCGCTTGTGCACCAACAGGTCCGTTGAGCCGGGTGGTTGAGGGAGAGTGGTTGAGTTTGAAACCATTTTGACACAAAAAAAAGGGATGCACTGGGGTGAAGTTGATATCGCAGCCACCCCGCTAGGGGCCGAAACAGAAAGTAGAATACATAGGTTTTGGGGGGGTGCCTGTTTTCGTCCCGGTTCAGGCTGAGGGGCGTTTTTGAAGTAAAAAAGGGGATCCTTAAAGAAGTGAGGCGCGCTTGCCTGCTGTGTGTTGCGAATCAGTGAGCAAAGATGTAGCCGGAAGTGGTGAAGTTGATATTGCAGCGACGTGAGCGTGCAAGATGAAGTGATTGGCGAACATCGGGCAAAGAGTACTTGCATGGGGCGAAGTCGACATCGCAGTCACCCTGATAGGGGGTTGAAACAGAAAGTAGAATACGTAGGTTTGGGGGGGAGTGCCCTTTTTCGTCTTGGTTCAGGGCGTTTTTTGAGGTAAAGAAGGGCACCCCTGAGGTATATTATGTGCGTTTGCTTGCTGCGTGTCGCTAATCAGTGGGCTGGCTTTCGTGATATACTCATATACTGTATATCTGTATATTGATTGAGATAACCCGTTCTCAAACTCCACGGCTTCTACGGATTGCACGTCACATCCGAACCGTGCCTCACTGGCCAGTGAGCATCCGTGGCACCAGCGCAAAGCTCGCCGATGAAGGTGGCTGCGAGGTCCTGGTCGGTTGCGCCCCCTAGTCTGGCACCGAAGCACCATCCCTGGCTGAGGAATCTTCCATGAAAAATTAATATATAACAAGAAAGAATGCATATATATATGCGAACGGATGAAAAGCGTGCCCCTGGCCCCGTTCTAGCCCTTAGCCTAACATGAAGCTCGCGCGCTAAAGCTCCTTTTTACCTGGTTGGGCACTTGAGCCAAATGTGTATGGCAAGTACCTATATAGAAGCTATACTGAGACCTCATCTCTATTGACACCCCCCACATCCGTGCTTCGACGGGGAAGGGAGATGAGTGGATGTAAAAACCGGAGAACGAATCATGCTCTCAAAAGTGCATTGGAGGTCAACCAGTATGTCCTATTGATCTGAATTAGCAAACGATCTTGCATTCGCTTGAAAGTTGGGTCAAACAGGTAACGGAGCTACAAACGGAAAACGTGCATCCACCTGTGGTATCCTGCGATTACCGATGGTGTGACACATAATCCTATTTCACTCCCATGATGCCAAAATGGTCATCATGAATTACCCAAGATCCCTCAGTACTTGAAGTACCGGAAGTAGTATGTCGGTATGACCCCGATGCTCAACCATTCGTGAGTTGTCGCATGTAGTCAGCTCCGACAAAGCCAATGTAGTCCTTGATGAGCTCAACGTTCCTTGGGTTTCCCCTCCGGATCTGCTCCTCGAAGGACTTCAACTTCTGTGTTTGAGTATCGGATACCTCTATGCCGTAGTAGCGGCATGCAACGAGGATCTCCTTTGTGACATTCTTCCGCTCTGACTTGATGGCGGGGCTAATGTCGATGAATTTGTAAGGAGCGGCACCTTCATCGTCTGGTTTCTGGTAGTAACTATATCGGCTCGCTCCGAAAGTCTTCTTAATCAAGCGTCTGATGAAATTTGAGATGAATGCCAGTTTCTCGATGATCTCTTCCTGGGTCTCAGATCTTTGAGCCTTCGGATCACTCATGTTACGCCGGGTGCTGCCGACCTCTTTGAGATACTTGTGGCTAAGCCCGCAGCGGATTGCAGTGATCATCATCGGGTGAATGACGTGGGCATGAAATTCATAGATCTGCCACGCTTCTGTTGCATACGTGTCGTTGGTCCATTTGCTCATGCCTACGACTTCGGCTCTCTGAAGGCGTCTTGGAAATCCAGTATCTGGATCATTCGGTACTAATGGCCATCTATTGAATGGAGTATCATGCCGCTGTCCATCGTCGAACTTTCGCAGTACGTCTTCACGACTCTCAAAGCAATTGATGTCGAACGTTGCGTTGGCCAAGCTCTTGATCAACTTCATCAACCTCAGATCAAATTGCTGTGTGACTGCAAAGTTGTGGTCGATGGGGATCGCAGCTTCTTGCGGCAATTCGTCAATTGCGAAGGGGAAAGGCTGTGGAAGTTCATTCCCGTACCCATCTTGAGGGACCTCCCGATATTCGGGTTCGCCTTCGGCTTCGTCCGGTCGTTCCTTCATGATGATAGGAACTTCCTCGTCTTCCTCACCTTCGGACTCCTCGACGTCAATGACTTCTTCGGCTGTCTTGCGTGCATTCTTGATGACTTCATCGATGTTTGCACCTGCGGAAGAAGTTGCTTCACCGGAAGAACTGGCTGGCACGTCTCTCGGAGGTGATCGTTGATTGCGGTCCCTTGTCTCCTTGGGTACCACATGCGTGAGCTTCCCATTTGCGATCAGAACCGCCACGCAGTGCGGACATATCGTCAATCGCACATCGACTTCGCCAAGACAGTTGGGACACGGTCTTGAGTCATAGTCTTTCATTGCTCGGCGGTATACGATCTCCTCAAAGATTTCCTGCCATTCGGTGCTATCGTACTCTGGGTAGACACCGCTCTCCTCGACCATGCTCAGCAGCTTTGTGATTTTGGCGTCGTCCTCGGAGTAAGTATCATCCTGGACTTCAATCGCTAAGCTCTCAAGCTTTTGATAGCGTGGAGTCATGGTCGGGTTTCCGTATTTGGACTCCAGAACAAGGTAGCTTCCAGGGTCGGGTTCTCTATTGAGTAACCTGATCCATTCGATTTCCTCAGGCTGTCCGGGTTCTGCATTGTCGCATTGCAACCATGCCCCTTTAACCTCATCGAAGGGAACGACGTCCTCAACCAATAGAGATCCAGTCGCTGAGATGAGAAGCCCGTACTCCTGCAGTTTCGACACCGGAATGTAGAGAACCACCGGGCGATCACTCAATGCGACCTTACGACCCAGCCAAGGTTTTCCCTTGTAGCCCTGCTCCCAGGCCCATGGCGGAAAACATGTGAAGTGGATAGAATCCCTTCCCGATGTACCGAGACCTCCTGGCACTAGCCCCCGTCGCATGATTGAAGTCAGCGCTCCAAGATTGGTAGCGTGAAATGCAGTCACCATGGATAGGGCCATGTCGTTGGTCATTCTCGATCCAATGTGGTCGATGTTGATGGTAACGTCATAACCTCCACCGTCCGACGAGTGTGCTGAGGTTGCTCTTACAGCCACGGGAAAGCACCATCCATCGCTATTGTGGAGTCTTCCTTTGGAGATTCCCATGCCCTTGAGCTCGTCAATCCATTCCTTCTCCATCGGATCATCAGGATCATTGAGTTCATCAGGGTGAACGCGAACTGCCAACATTTGGAATCTGATCCTCTTGGTTATGCGGAAACACTCATAGTTCTGGTCGAGGTACTTCTCCAAACGCGCCTTCTTGGTCACGATGTCAATGTTGCCATAGTGATAACCGTCTTCCCAAACTGCGTTATCACCTAACAGGTCTTCCCATGACACCCATGCGCCTTCATCGCATTTGATTGGTGTGAGTCTTCCTCCTGTTCTGAACTGGCGTCCAATTCGATGCCTCAACTTCGCTCCCAATCGGCGACTCAGGGCCTGACTCGCTTGGCTGTATTCAGGTACTCGACAGTCTGGGGTCGGATACTTGAGGTTGCCGTAGTCGGAGTTCTGTGCAGCGAAAGTGACTCCGTTGATCGGTACTAGCTCAACTTTCCCGATCATCGTCATGGGGTCGATCGGCTTGTATCCCTTCTCCCTCCTTGTCGGTAGGGGGTAAAATTGATGACATGCCTTTGGTTTGAGGGAGCTGGAGTGCACAAATGCCCTCTCAACAAGCTCATACACCACCCTCATATCCCTAGGGCCAACTTCCGCAAGCTTCCGCCCATTGTAGGAATGTGTCCCTCCTTCGACTCCATCGGCACTTTCAATCAAGGTGAACCCGTCATGGTCAAACATTGTCACGACTCTTGCTTTCAACATTTCTTTTCGCCTGAACTCGCTGTCGACCTTCCTATCTGGAGTAGGCGATGCTCTCTGCTTCTTCTTCTTAGGCTCCTCTGCTGGATGTCCGGATGGTACATCGTCGGGTGCAACCTCTCCCTTCACTCTCTTTTTCCAATCGCTCAGCACTGAGGTGACTGTGGGTGAAGATGAAGGGATCTTCTCGCAATTGAGAGTTGTGTGTCCCGACTTCATGCAGTGGATGCAGAATTCTGCTTGCCCGATCTTCTTCTCGAACTCGTCGATGGCTTGCAGTATTGATGTCTTCGGATCGGACATGTCAACGTCTTGCTCCTCCCTCTCCTGCTCACCCTCAGTTTCCATATCGACACCTTCGGCCTCGGGCTGGTCAGTAGCTTCTGCTCCCTGTTCTGGTTCTTTCCCAATTTCGAAGAAGTGGTCGATATCGAATTCAGGAGGCGGCATGGTCCTCATGCGAACGAGAATCAGTGCCACGTTTGCCGCCTCTTCAGAGTGCGGGTCCAATGTTCTGATCATCGATCGCTTTCGATTCTCATACGTTGTCCTGTCGTACAGCGATGCAGTGACGCGCTTGATGGATTCTTCTAATCCCGTCCTCAAAGCCTCAATGTCACCCCATCCTACGAACAGGTGTTTGAAAAGTTGAGCAACTTCTAACATGCCCAGCAGCGCTTCCACCATATCACCTACCCGTTCCTCCGAGGGATCATCTCCGAACATATTTCGGAATACCTCGGGCTCCAGTATGGTCTTGAGGTATTTGGTGTAGCACACGTTGCCAAGGTCATAGGATCCCTGGTAGTACTTGGCGCTGCCAACTATCTGCTTTTCCACATGGATGCTGGGCCCTCTCCTCGTCTTGAAGAAATTCGTCATTGTTGATGACAACCTGATCCCCCCGAAGAACGAGATCTCCTTTTGGAAACCTGGGTTCCCGTTAAAGATGACCATCGCTTCGTGTAAGAACTTCATCAAGTCTACGCGCGGGTTCATCTCAGAGATCATGACGGTGGGAGATGATACCGTCTGCCCCATGCCGAAGTTGTAAAGCATTCGAGCACATGCATGGAGCCGCTTCTGGACATAGTCTTCTGCAGACATCCCACGGCACCTATTTGCTGCTCCGTTGATGCATTCTGCATAGCAATCATCTTTCTGATCGGAGTCTATGGGATTGCAGACCAAGCAGTAGTCGCAGCAAATCTCCTCACCCTCCTTGAAGTCATCGATGACGTACCACCTTTGAGTCCTCGAGTAGATTGGCTCTGGTTGAAGGACTCCCCAGTACTCATCCATCCATGGCATTTTGTTCTCTCTCCTTACCTTCTCCCTCTTCCTTCGCTCAGACTCGTTCTCACCTGAAGCTCCCGCAGTGGACTGATATGTCTGGCTTCCCCTCACGGAGTCTCCGAACAAGTACTGATACAACCTCTCTTTGTCCTGCAACACGTGTTCCAAGTTGGGATCATGGAGGCTATTCGCTTCGGTCAAGGGATCCGGTGCCATGAAGCAAGAAGCGAGCATCTTTTCTCTGAACAAATACTTTTCCATGACAGCGTGGACCAAAGAGGTTCCAGACTTCATAGAGTAGGGGTGACCGCCTCCGGCGACCGAAATGGCTCGCCAGAATCTGTCCGACGTCGTGGACATCATGCCATTCAGCGACAGCTCGTCCTTGATCATGTTGGCGATCTTGCCGAACGAA